AAATTCTCATTTTTCGATTTTTATCTAAGAATCCCTACTTCCCTAACCCTACTACTATTATAAATTGATGTGAATGTAAGTTTGTTTGTCGGACTTTCACGCCAAAACAACTCAACCGATTATCAATATCAGAGAAAGCACCCCGCACCGGGGGGAAATTGGCTTTCGGTGAATTTTCTCGAATTTTGGATATATCGTAGAACTCGTCATGCTGATCTGATGTCCCAATTATCAACGCTCTAAATTCAATAGTTTGTATTAAACAGGGTGCTGAAGTTGACTTTTTCAAAACTTGGTGAGGAAGTTGATAATTCGTGATGACAATATTTTATGCATATACCTGAATTATACAGGGTGGTTGAGAAAGTAGTAGTGGAGTTTTCTTGGAGGTGACGAACTCCAGTGCAATTGAGAAACAAGACAGAAATCCTGAATACGTCAACTCCAAGAAAACTCCACTACTACTTTCTCAACCACCATGTATAATTCAGGTATCGCATAAAATATTGTCATCACGAATTATCAACTTCCTCACCAAGTTTTACAGGATTCCAATCATTCGATGGATATGGATATCAGGACGGGTGCCGCAATTCATGGAAACTTGACTTCACCGGCCACATGGACAAACAAAACGTAGTCGATTTGATTTTGGTATTCAAAAAGAAAACTTCACAATGGCCATTCGAAATTTTAAAAAAGTCAACTTTAGCACCCTGTATAATACAAACTATTGAATTTAGATCGTTGATAATTGGGACATCAGATCAGCATCATGAGTTCTACGATATATCCAAAATTCGAGAAAATTCACCAAAAGCCAATTTCCCCCCTATTGCGGTGCGGGGTCCTGTACAAACAAAAAGATTTTTTGCTCTTATGGAAAACATGTTTCTTTCTGGAAATTTCATCAATAATGCTGCTGATGCTGGACTATTGATAGATGAATAATTTTCAGATGCCAGTTCGTTATAGTTTTAGTTATATCATAGAGAGGAAAATTGTGTATTTCATGAAGAATGGCTGAAAGAATAACTGAAAATTATAAATCATATTATTCATCCGATTTGAAAGAGAAAGTTCAATTCTCAATTTCCGATGATTTTTATTTTCATGTTCTCTTTTTGATGTTCAACAGATATAATTCAATGTTCGACGTGGCAAATAGCCAGGAAAGTAGTTGTTTTCTGTTGAATATTCAGAATGATATCATGAGCATGTTTATTTTTATGTGAAGGATAATGCAAATTCTCAACTTCAGAAGACTTTATTTTATATATATATTTTATAATTCAATGTTCGTCGTGGCTTATAGCCAGAAAAGTAGTTGTTTTCTGTTGAATATACCGATGAAGAGTTAATATATTCATCACAAAGAGAATGCGAATCCTCAATGTATTTCTTTATATATATCCATTATTTCATATTTATAATATATCTGAGAATATTCATTTTCAATCACACTTATTTGATAACTGAAAGCTATAAAACGAATGGTTTTCAAGAAAAAGTCAACCTATAATGTGGTAAACCCGGTATATAATTCCATTTAAGTGCCCGACATTCTTCAACTCCACCTCATTGTGATTAAGCCTTAAGTATGAGATTACCTTAATTGCAAAAATAATCGCAACATTGCAGGATTCATCTCACAAATTATGCTTTAATTGTTTGAAGAATCTTGATAATGAACTCCATGTATTCATTCAGTTCATAAAAGCTGTAAGCCGACCACTCACTGTTAGAGTGCTCATTTTACAGGATAATTCGCGAACCTTTCATAAATAGTTCATAATATATCCCTATTCCAGGATATTTTTAAAGATGTAGGTATACTATCGTTGAATGTTGAATGTATTTCTTTATACAGGGTCGCTGATATGTGTGGAAACAGGTGGATATCTCGGTAACATGTTGTTAGATTCTTTTAAGTTCATGTACAGGGTGATTTTCAAACGTGGCGGATTTGAAAATGTTATCGCCAATGTTGCCACTGTTTCAGTTATTCTGGAATTATCATTAACTTCCTTATTTTAAATAGAGCACCTTGTATTTCAAATGTCAAGATAGGAATGAATAGTTTCGACACAAAAAAATCCTGAAGTTGAGAATCCCTCGGGCTCTATACAGGGTGTCGCGTGACTCGATGGCCATAGCTTCAGGGCATATTCCTTGAACAATTTCAAGTCGAAAGTGCCTCATACACTTCTTTCTGAAACTCAATTGTTAAGGAGTAATTGAATATCTACTTGGCCTACTAGTGGATTGAAACAGGTGGTCCAGTTCTTTGTCCACCGAGTTCTCCTGACCTAACGCCTCTAAACTATCATCTCACGGGACACATGGTAAGTCTAGTGTATTCAAATAAACCACAAATCAGAGATGATTTAATTCAAAATATCATTACTACAAATGGATCCATACGAGTCGACCCATATACTCTTCAGATAACAACGTTTTCAATAATTAGAAGCAGCGGGAGGGCAATTAGAAAACACCTCGGAACACACACTTTCATTAAATTTGAGTAAGCGATGAAACCATTCTTAATTAATAAAATATGACATTACTTCATTCAACATTCTCTTTGTTTCCTTCAACACATTCTTTTGAATTTGAAATTGCTTATTAGTTTTCAATTATAGAGTTTTGGACAAAAGTGTATGAGGTACACTTTCGACTTGAAATTGTTCAAGGAATATGCTATGGGGATCGAGTCACGGGACACCCTGTACTTGGTACATTAAGTATTCTTTTCCCGCCGTGAATTTTTTTTAAATAAAAAGCATCCTTTGTACATAATAATACATCTAAGAATATGATTGCTTACAAATTTTCATGATAATCGTTTGAGCAGTTTCGACGTGAAACCGCATAAGCATGACAAACAAACTTACATTCACATTTATTATATTAATGAGGATGGAGAATTTTCAATCCTTTCACGCAGAGTTTCGTTCGTCTGTCTCTGCATTCTGTTTCAATTCCCTGCACCGTAGAAACCGTCTTTCCCCTTTTCTCGTGAAAACTAATCCCACATAATTCATTTCCCACACATTTATTACTTCTCGGAGACAGCATAATGTACGAATGAATCATGAAAGAGATGACACACACAGCGTTTTCACTACCCGGAGGTGCCTTTATCCGGACATTACGCCTCCATTTCATCCGGAAATGCTATTGTATTAGGAGATACTCGACTGGCATTTCCTCACACTGAGTCACACCTGAGTTTCGACAAGAATATTACTATACCTAGGCGAGTGGACTGATTGTTTTTAATTCTTAACACTGCTGCCGGGACGCGATTTTACTAAATATAAACTATTGCAGCACAAGACACGCCCCCTACTACGGCATTGCAAAATATAATCGAGCCCAGCACAATCCTGCAAAATCTAATCTTTGACAGCACAACGTAAGCTGATTCATATAAATAAATCGATTGAAAAAGTAGCACATACCACGTTATATCTCATCTTCAAAGTACTTTACTTAGGCAAAACTCAGAGACTATTTATCCTCAACGAACTAACCTATCCCTGATTGCAATATTTTTGAGGAAGGAAAACCGAATGGAGTGTAGAAACACATTGATTAATAATATATTTCAAAAGTTGAGTTCTTCAACAAAATTGAATAAAATGAGACTGTTTATCCTAAACGCACTAACCTATTTGACTTCAAATATTTTATGAAAAAGGAAAACCAGAATGAAATAAAAAAACATTGGTGAAAAAAAAAAGTTGCAAAAAAAAGTTCGAGTTCACAGCGATTCGAACCATGAACCTTCAGACTGAGAGTCGACAGCGCTAATCAGTAGACCATTTGGGTGTATGAATTTACTGCGTACAAGAGATTGACAACGAGAAAGCTTCAGTTCTTGCGTTGGAGCACAGTATGAGATATGACGTATTATGGTGGGCGTGGTTTGTGCTAGAATAGTTTATATTTAGTAAAATCGCTGCCGGGACTCTGTTTTTTCTCTCTATTACAGGCTTTGTCAGTCATATGTGACCGACGGTGACTTATAAAAAACGGTGTTTGGCAGTGATTTTTTACCGCCGATGCATTCAAATCTCCATTAGATCTGAACCGTTTATTGTATAAAATGTGAAAAAACTCATGAACATATCTGAATCTGATTATTGTTGGAATTCGATTGAATTATTGCGACCACACTAAAACTGGACCCAATCATGAGATTAACTTGCGTTGTTCGAAATGCTATAGGAGAACAATCACTTATAAATTCAAATTTGAATATTAGTTTTTTGTTAGGTACCATAAGATTTCCTGGAAATTTTAATACTCATTAAAGTAGGTATTCGTATGTGATGTCGATGATCCTAACAGTTTTCCATGAAAATTGATTCAACTTATAGAAGAGCACAAAATAATTCACTTCATCAAGACTTGGAATGACAATATCAGTATAAAACTCTGTAGATCGTTGATTCTTCTAAACAATAAAAATTAAAAATGAAAACATAATATCACTCTTGTCTCTGCCTTTGCTGTCTGTGTCCTTTCGGTGTCCTGTTTGGGTTTTGCCTGTACCCCTGTTTTGTCTTCTTTTCTATATGCCTTGTCTGTGATCTTTCTGTGCCCTGTCTGTGTCGGGTTTCTGTTCTCTTGTCTATGTGCCCTGTCTGTATGTGTTCTGTCTGCTTGTATCCTGTTTGTCTTAGTCCTGTCTGTGTCCTGTCTGCATCCTGTCTGTGTTCTGTCTGTGTCCTGTCTGTGCCCTGTCTGTGTCCTGCGAGGTGTCCTGTCTGTGTCCTGCCTGTCTCCTGTCTGTGAACTGTCTGTGTCTTCTCTGTGGATTGTCTGTGTCTTGTCTGTTGCTTTCTATATCCTGTTTATGTATTTTCTGTGTCCTTTCTGTGCCCTGTCGGTGTCAGGTCTCTATCCACTTATGGACGTATGTCCTGTCTGTATGTCATTTTGTTCTGTCTACATGTGTCCTACATGTGTACTGTCTGTGTCTGTTGTGTCTGTTCGTATGGTGTTTATGTCTTGTCTGTGTCCTATCTGCATGTGTCTAGTTTGTGTGTTCTGTCTGTGTACTGCCGTGTACTGTCTGTGTCTTGTCTGTTGCCTGTTTGTATACTGTTCATGTGTTGTCTGTGTCTGCCGTTCTGTTCCCTGACTTTGTCCGGTCTCTATATTATATATGTTATGTCTGCATGTATCCTGTTTGTGTGTGTTCTGTCTGAATTAGTGCCATGTGTGTCCTGTCTATCATCTGTCCTGCAATTCGTGAGACAGACAAACAATAGTATTATTCATGAAATCCGATAGATTTCACGTGTGAATAGGACTGCCGTGATGTGGATATAAGTGTTTGAGGTCGACGAAAAAATGTGATTTACTACTCGACTATCAATTTGCAGGATCGACTATTATATAGAAAGTGTTTCGTCTTTGGTACATAAATAACTATTTCAGTTCTTATAATGAATCTTTCTCACCTGTGGGCGGAACGAAGGCGAAAATGAGCTTCCAAAACACGGTGAGACCGTGTAAGACGTAATCGAGGCAGGACGGCTCTTTGCAGGCGTCGCCAGCGTCGGCGTCGTCGTCGTCGCCGCCGCTGGCGCTCACCGTCAACGCTTCTACGAACTGTTCTTTCCACGAAGAAGTGCCTATCAGGAGGGAGGCATTAGCGCGTTGCACTAATTTATCGACAGTGTTCTGGAATGCAAGAATAGATTTGTTAAACGTAACCCATCAAAGTTATACCACGAGTCTTTCAAATTGTACCGATAGTTTTTCAAAGGAACCCGCACCATTCATATTGAAATCTGGTCTACGGTGAAATTTTGTGAAAATCTAGGATTGGATAGATTAAATCATGCTGAAGAAGAAATGTCTTTTGGTCCAAGGTCCGTTATGCCCTCTACCAGAACAGCACCTGACGAAGCTACTGTGTTAGATTAGATTAGATTTGGAATGGGGCCTTCGGGCTATCTGCCTCCACACTGCGACCTTTTCAGATCTATTGTGTCTTCCCTCAAAATCGATTAGAGTTCTTCGGCTAGCCCCGCCTTCTCTATGAGACTCCATAGGCTAGCTTTCAGATCTCTTGTGTATCTCTGGGCTCCTGGTTTTTCCTCACCCAGCGTAAGGAACCTCAGTTTTGACAAGCCCTCACAGTGGCAAAGTATGTGTACTGCTGTTTCTTCCTCTTCTTGACAGAACCTGCACAGCAGTTCTTCAGTCAGACCTATCGTACTCATGTGTTTGTTGAGCCTACAATGCCCTGTGAGAAGTCCCGCTAGTATTCTAGTTGAACTTCGTTTCTGGCTTAGTAGATATTCTGTGAATGTTGGCGATGGTTTTTTAATAAACTCTTTTGCCTGTCTCATTCCTGGCGAGTTGTTCCACCATTCTTGAGATTTAGTTTGCATCCATGATTTGATACTAGTCTTTTGTATAGCTTTCGCAATACCACAGAAGGGTTCTGGGCCATTAAGAGCTTTGTTTGCTCCTGCTCGGGCAAGTGAGTCTACCTTGTCATTGTCCTCGTACCCTGTATGTGCTGGTACCAATGCTAGAGTCAATCTGTTCTGACTGCCCAGTGCATTAAGGGGTTTCTAAGCAGTCCCATACTAGTTTTGGAGTTAACTTGCATAGAGTTGACTGCTTTGATTGCCGCCTGGCTATCTGAATAGATTGCAATGGTTTTGCCTTCAAACTCTTATTGCCTTATCAATTCTTTCACGCAATGATGTATTGCAATAATTTCTGCCTGAAACACCGTCGCGTATTTGCCTAAGCTCAGTGAGATTCTTGTCTTTGGCTTGGCCCCATAAATACCAGCTCCTGATCCTTCCTCAGTTTTGGAGCCGTCCGTATAGACAGCAATGTCTGCATTGATAGGAGGTCCTTCCTTCCATGCCTCTCTGTCCGTTATACTTATTTTATCAGTTTTTTCAAAGCTATATTTTGGAATTATGCCATCCGTTCGCATCCCCATGATGAGGTCGCTTTCCAACTCTTCATATAGCTACTGTGTTAGCGAAACATGTGGTGTGTTTGAGAATTTTGTGGAAATTTTATCGTTTGTCCCCATAACCGTGAAAATGTTTTTGTGAAGAGTTTTAGAAATGAGAAATATTTTTTTTGTGTAATTTTACGAATAAAATTGTAATAATAGAGCAGTGTATTTAATCAAACAAAGTCGAATATACAATATGAGAAAACCCTTGAAAAAATATTTCTGGACGGAATGGGAACACTGTATATTCGATGCAAGTCAATAAAATGATCTTGAATGTGAGAACCGAATTGAAATCGGTTGATTTTGTTGGGAGTTATAATTTCTCGAATCCGAGATAGTTCAAAATTGTTACGAAATCATGAGGTTGCATTGCCTCAAGCCGCGTTCACAACCAAACTTTTTACGTTTTGCTTCTTACGTTTTGTATTCTGATCAGTGAAGCAAAATCTGGAACTGACATGACTTAAGAAGTTGAACATTTTCAGCTTTTGCGTTGCAAGATTTCACTTTGTCTGGAATTGACGCAAAACGGTAAAAATAGACAAATACTAGATACATAACCCATTCTCATACCAACACACCCTCGATGACATAGCTGCACCCAATATTTGCCCTGATTTTCCTCCTTACAAGCAATTTACGTTTCTGCCAGATCTCATAAATATAATTCGTTATTCAATTGATATTGTTGTGATTATTTCATAGAAAAACCGTAAAAACTCACTTTAACGTTTTTCGATTGAGAATGGCATTTGCATCAGTTTAATTCACGTTCAATTCTAGATTCCGCTTCACCAATCAGAATACGAAACGTAAAAAGTTTGGTTGTGAACCCCGCTTTATTTTTGTAGTTCAACTTGGATGATCAATTTTAACAATGGAAATTATCATCGCATAAAAATAAAATATCCCACATGATTTTCCGGATATTGCCGGACGTGCCAGCCACGATAAATCCTCTCCGGAATTTAATAATGCCTTGTCTTGGGCTCGTAAAGAAAGTAAATTGTCGTACAGGGAGCGCCTCTTAAAATGAAAATCCCCCCCCCCCCCCCTCCCCCTTAACTCCTTTGATTTCAGCAATGTGAAGAAATAATGAATTAAAAAGTTGTTTGAAATGACCCAAACTTTTATTTCGAGAAGTTGCTTCATCTCGACTATTTTTTTAACTCGGCTACGCTTCGTTGAAAAAATGAAATCTCGATCACCAAAGTAGCATTTTGCGCTCTAGATACAAAATAGTTATTTTTGTAACTAGAGCGCGAAATGCTACTTTGGTGATCGAGATCTGATTCTTTGATGACCAAAGTATTTCGCGCTCGAGTTGCAAACAAATTTTTTTCTACAAAACGTCAAAAAAGGACCATAAAGTTGAAATATAAATATCTCATATATTTTACATAACAATGCGCGAAGTAGGTACTTCGCGCACTGTTTTACTTCGCGCATTGTTTTGTGCAAGGTATCATGGTGACGTAGGAAACTGAAAGAAGTGTCACTTCGCAATTTGTTATCAATGCGCGAACCTTGTCATTTTTGACGTTCGTAGAAAAACAACTATTGTCATTCATCTTAATATCGAAATGTTGTCAGTGCCGTACTATAAACAGAGTTACATGAACTTTAATCAAAGGAAATGCGAAATACTCAACTCCCTGTATATTGATTGAATTGGTACATGTTTTCCATGCACATCCACTATAGTAAATCACCCTACGAATTCCAGAGCAGTACGAATCGAGGATTTCAGGATATTAAAGAAAACCTGGAAATTAAATTGTTCTGCATCGCCCTCTCACGACTTAACGGTGCATTTTCGTCTCTAGTTCACTTTGTAGAAATTATAGTACGTTGTTCGAGAAACCTTGTTTATTTTTGAAATCAGAAAAAAAAGAATCTATCGACATGTCGTAGAAATTATAGTACGTTGTTCGAGAAACTCTGTTTATTTTTGAAATCAGAAAAAAAGGATCTATCGACATGTCGTTTCAAAAAACTTTTTCATTCTACATTTTTTAATATCTCTGAAACCAAAATAGTTAAGGGGGGACGTCTCCATTTCAAGAGGCACACCCTGTACGTGCGCCACTCACCTTGAATTCCTTGCTCTCCTTTATTCTAATTTGTGCCCTGGTTACCTCTCCCAGCCTCGGTCTGCCCAATAAAGCGATCCTTTCCCGCTGCGTTCGCTGTTCGGGGGCCTTTCTTTCCGCATCGGCCGCCAAACTGGCTACCTCGTCTAGAAAAGGGCCATAAAACGGGGGGTTCGTTAGCTGCAGAGGCTTATCGGGGTCCGAGGAGAGTGTTTACTATAGCCACTTTCTATTTGACTGTGTGAGTAGCACCGGAGCTACTCCAGAGCATGAAACACAGCCAGGAACGCTATTTTTGGTGATTTTGAAAACTTATTTACTACTTTCATGTATCAGGATAGTTCAACTCAGTGCCGGATTTATACTCCCTTACGCCGGGGGATAACTTTTACGATGCCGCCGCACCACCGTCAAATATTTAATTTTCAATTGTCAGATTCAAAATTCAAATAACCCTTTCACTGCTTTTTTCACAGCATGTAACAATAATAACATGAAATCATTATGAAACGAATCAACGAACAACAGAGATTTTTTTCAGATGAATACTAAAATAGTTTTCTTGATTTTTTTGATTCTGAGTCGTCAACGGCATCATCAAAATTCAGATTCAATAACATGTCACTGTTAATACTTGAGATTGATAGGATATTCAATATGGAGGATATATTGGAACTCCTATATAAGGTAGTTTTTCACTCTTTTTGAAGTTGAGAATGACCTTTCACCACTGGCTTTACTAATCATCAGGGATAGTGAAAAAATTCTCAGTAATTGCAAATATTCAATGAATAAGGAATTTGTTGTGATTATCCCTAAAACAACGCCTAGTCGTGTTCATACTTTGATCATCTATTTTAGAGATTTTAACTCTTCTTTTTCGCCTATTGAATATAAAAGAATATAAAACATACCATTCCTGTCTTGAGATCGTGAAGTTCCCGGAGACGGTTCTGTCGGTTCTGATTCTGTCTCAATTGAATTTAGGAAAAATGAATGTATTTTAGGGCATTATTTGACAATTTCGCCTAGCTGCTTTTATTTATTGATCTTCTGCCGTTTCCAGAATGCACCACCTTCTTTTTCACTCATTTTCTTAAATTTCAGTTTCAATATTTATTTATTATTATTAGTACCATTACCAACAATACCAACGACAACCTATTGAATACTGAACTCTGATTTACCCCTATTCTACTGAGTAAAATGCGGTTTTTCTTCACATCATCGAATAAAAGTATGTACCACCGCCGCTTTTGTATTGTAGCGTCCAAGACACAGCTGACGCTAGATTAGTGCATGTTATGATTTTCACAAAAACAGTATCTCAACCAGTCAACGACTGTATTGCTGCTTGCTTTTCCTCTTTTCCTCTACCGCCTCTTGAAATTCACCGCCGGGGGCTGATAGTCCCATAGCCCCCCCCTAAATCCGGCACTGGTTCAACTCACATTAATTATAATATGCTCGTCTCGAGAATCAGACATTTTCAACATAGATTGGCTATATTTCAACATTTCCAAAGAGTTAACAAAAAGAGCGCATGCGCAGGTGCGTTCATTGTAAAATTTCACTAAAAATGCGTTCCATTTGGGAGAAGATCAAGTGCAACAAACACTGGACTGCTCAGGTGCAAGAAACATCAAACAGAAAGTGACTTCTACATGGTGTTTCTCAAAGGCATGCTAATATTCAAGGGG